GGTGTTTATCTGGGGCTCTGTCCTTCCTTGTCCCTTCTCCCCGTCCCCTTGCCCCAGCCCCTGAGAATATGTCTAACATGTACTGTTATGTTTGCAGATGTCTTCTTCCCTGGGCGAGTTTTGAAGGAGGAAGTGACTGTGGGGAACAGGGCTGCTGCAAATGTCTCTTCATCTGCTACCTGATAGCTGCCCCAGATAACAGTCTGGCCAGCTCCTAGCTGGGAAATGAATTAACCTACTCCGTGCCAAATGTGGACGCTCCTCCCCTCCCTCCCCTGCATCTACTCATCCCACAGGGCAAGAAGAGGCCCTGTCCACCCCATCCCTCCTGCCCCCAGCAGTACTGACTGCTTCACTTATTGATGGCTTAGATCGGGCCATTTCCAGGGATCACAGGGCATGGCCAGTGGTGCCATCATGCTGTGAAGGCAAGGTTGTGTTACCTCCCACTCCCAAAGTGGCATACACTTGTGCCTATCTCAGCAGAAAGAGCTCCTCCTTCTTGTCCCCACAGAAACCCCTTGCCAAACAGTCTCCCCACATCTCGATACAGAGATAATGTGCTGAGAAAAGCTGAACACAGAGCTACTGGTGGACATCTCATCAGGACCATAGTGCCGTGCCCTCTCCCAGTCAGTCCCAGTGAGCAGATGGCTTTCACCTGCAGGAGAAAGTCATTCACCTGCAGGAGAGCACTTGCACCTCTCAGGTTTTAAATCTGACTCCTGCCTACAGGTTGAATCTGGCAGCAACACCACCACCTCCTGTGCGTGGGACAGTCCTGCTCCACTTTCCATGCCCCTTTTGCAGATGCCCTTCAAAATGCACTCTTCCACACCCTTCCCAGAGGAAGGTCCCTTGCCCTCGGGAGAGAAGGGCGAGAGAGAGAGGGAACGCAGACTGCAGGAGGTCAGAAGCAAAGCTGGGGAATTTTCACCAAGCAGCCACCTTCTTTCTTGCCCCTTGTCACCGCCCCTCCCTCCCTGCATCCACAGCAAACCAGTGGGGTACCTACCCATCTCCCACCACGACACACTTGATGGCTTGCATGGCTCTGGACCCGTGGAGGAAGACAGCGCCTGGGGCAAAGGAAAGTCAGGCCAAGGCGAACAGCAGGGAGAGACGGGCAAATTTGGGTATCAGCCCTTGCGCTGCAGTGAGCGGCAGGTTGCAGGGAGGGAGGAAGTGGAAGAGGGAACTTTACTCGACTCTAACCCTCCGGTCCCTCCTCCCCTCCCACCACAGCAGCAGCTCTGCAGCCGAGGCCGTTAGCTGAAGGCGGGGCATGCATGACTTCATGGCTGGGATGATGGCTGCTGTCATTTTTTTTTTCTCCCCGCGTGTCTCACCCACTCCCTTCCCACCCCATCCCAGTGAACAGCTGGGGGCACCAAACTGCTTTTACAGGGGAGCTGAACAAGGGTTAGAAGAGGGATGAGAAAGTGGAGGGGTGGATCTCCTCCTCCCTCCTTTATCATCCAAACTTTGGAGAAGATGTCAGCAGGGAAGGGAATCTGAAGTGGGAGTAGTGGGGTGATGTGGGGCAATGAAGATTTTTCAGGTCTTCCCAGTGCCCCTGAGTGACAATGGCAAAACATCACAAGGAACAATGTTTTCTGTGAAGGCTGAACAAGGAAGTTAAGCAGCCTCTAGGAAGAAGCAGCCACCCCATGGCTGCTCTATCCCTCCTCTCCTGTGGTGATAAGGTCCTGCCGCACTTCCCCACCTGCCCAGATTACTAGTACAAAGTATTGTGTTAACCTGTGTGTTCACCATGAAGTGGAGCAAATGCATCAAGGGATGTAATGAACTGTTTTCTCTCCCCTGCAAGTACTATGAGAGCCAAGACTGGTAGCTGAGATGAGCCCTTGCAAACCAGCTTCTCCCTATCCACCCTCTCCCCTACTTCTGTGCAAAAGCAGCCAGTGGGAGCTGCTGCCAGGCCTCTTCCATCTTGTCATAGAATCATAGAATCATAAAATCACAGAATAGTTTGGGTTGGAAGGGACCTCTAAAGGTCATCTAGTCCAACCCCCCTGCTGTGGGCAGGGACATCTTCAACTAAATCAGGTTGCTCAGAGCCCCGTCCAACCTGACCTGGAATGTTTCCAGGGATGGGGCATCTACCACCTCCCTGGGCAACCTGTGCCAGTGTTTCACCACCCTCAGCGTAAAAAATTTCTTCCTTGTATCCAGTCTAAATCTACCTTCTTTCAGTTTAAAACCATTGCCCCTTGTCCTGTTACTACAGGCCCTGGCAAAAAGTCTTTCTCTGTCTTTCTTATAAGCCCCCTTTATATACTGAAAGGCCACAATAAGGTCTCCCCAGATCCTTCTCTTCTCCGGGCTAAACAACCCCAGCTGTCTCAGCCTGTTCTCATTGTCCTCAGAAGATAAAAGAGTTTTAGAGCTAAGCAGCAAGGAGAAGAAGGAAGCAATCACCCTAAGAAAGAAGAGACAAGGAGCAGAAAGATCCCAGGAGACTCTACTGCTTCCTTTCCCTTCTCGAAATGAGGGTCTGCCTCCTCTTCCTTCCTTCTCCTCCCATGCAACGCTAAGTCTGGAAAAGTGCGTATGTGTGCATGTCTGTGTGCTCCAGCCTGAACTGATGAGTGGATGGGCAGGAGATGCATTTTATATAAGAAGGGATGTGGTGACACAGGATTAATTAGAATTTCCAGGCTTTGTCAGGAGGCCAGTTAGACCAAGAACAGTGGGTTTTCAGCTGGGATGGTCCTGAAGGAAGGAACTCTGAGGGAAATTGTTTCTCCAAATGTTGGTGACCTTTGCACTGCTGCAGCCATGGGAGGCTGTTGCAACTGACCTGCTCAGGAGGAGACCTCTCCCATCTGTCACGCAGCGCTGGCCGCAACCCAGAAACCTTCAGCTGTGGAATGTTTCCAAGTCTTGCAGCTATTTCAGAAGCACAAAGCAACCAGCTGTACTAGGTGTTCCCTCTGTGGGTGGTAGGGAAGGGGGTGGAAGGAAACCCACTGGCTCCCCTGCAAGTGAGAGCAGGAACAGGCCATGGGAATACAGGTCAGAGAGGGACAGAAGGGAGAGTGACAAAGGCTGTTACAGGGAGAGCAGCAGCAGGAGCTGGAAAGGGCAGGCAGGTGCAGAATATAGTGGGCCAGGAGATAGGAACTCAGTCAGAAGAGAAGGCAGGTATATCTGGCTCTAGAGAATGCTACTGATGGATGGAGAAAAACCATTGGAGCTCCCTGGGCAATTGGATGCATTGAGAGCTCTCTGTGGGAGACATCTGGGTGACAAGTGAGGGCCCTGGGAGCTGGAGCTGGTAGAGCCCCCAGGGATTCAGGGAGCTCTAGGTCCCTGCCCTGATTGGGCAGGCAGCCTGGGACAGGCAAGCAGGAAACTAACCCCTTTCTGGGCATTGTTGAAACTGCATTTAGAATCAGCTTCTCCAAAGGAACATTTCTGTTTTCACCAGATCTTTTCTCTGAAGGTTTCCAATAACCCTTATGTGCCTGGGGAGGAGCAGGGTGGGAAGAACAGAGAGCGAACACCCGAGGTGGGAAGGATGGGGACTGAGGGGAAAAGAGCTGGGAGAGCTGGAGAATACATTGAGTCTTACCTGGGACAGAGTGACAGTCATGTGAAGATACTGGGGGTAGGGATGGGATTCAGGCTGAGGGAGACTGGATGGAAAGCCGCCTGGTGGCGCAGTAGGACCTGGTGGCAGGGATGAACAAGGACCACTGACCTGCTGAATGCCCTATGTGCTTTTGCCCTTGTAGTCTGGCATATGGGCTTGTGGGACTGGCAGCACGGGAGGGAGTGGGGAAGAAGACAAGTTAAAATGGGTCAGGGAGGAGGGACTGTTGTTGAGACCCCATGTCCAGGTGAGCCCCACGTCAAAGACACTGTAGTTCTGTATGTCCAACAATGAGCTGTGGAAGTCCTGGCAAGAAGGTTATCTCCAACCCACTTCTGGGCAAATTACTTTTGGAAGATAATTGCCTGCTACTGCTATGGATAGTCAGTTCTCGTCCAAGTCAGAGGTCTGTGCTGTGAATCTATAAACATGCCTCCGCTGCCAGTGCCTCTATAGAGGGACGATAGGGATCTACATAAAGGCTTTCAGGGTGTTTCTTATTATATTCAAATAACACATATTGTAATCACTCTGAGAACAACTGGCACCTGCTACATTAAAACCTCTTGGTTGTACAGGCTGCAGGAAAGGGAAGGAAACTGCAGGAAATAGGCCTGTAACCCCTAACTGAGCACATACAGATCTGTTGCTGCTTTGATGTCCTCTCACACCACCAAGAGGTGCTCTTGACATGAGTTTCCTTCTGCATGTGCAGCGGGGCTGAGGGAAGGCAGGCACCCATGTGAGGTTTCTTGCTCCCTTTGCTGATTTTGAGGAAGACGCTAATGGGAAAGAATTGCTCAGTGAGACAGTTTTGCTCTGAGAGACTTCCAGGGCCCTGGGCTGGGTCACCTCTGAGCGACCTGTCTGTGCTGGGTTTGCACGGCACCCATGTGGGATGGCGGGCAAGGGCAGAAATGCATGATATAATTTTTCTCCCCACAAGGATCCAAAGCTGCTCCGTCTCTCCCCCTCTTTCTGTGGGGTTCTGCTCCCTCAGGGAGGATGGGAAAAGGGTGAGGGGGCTCTTTCAGAAATGATGTTTGCACTTCACAGCCCTGCACAGGAGGGCAGGAGCTGAGCAGGAGGCTTGCCCTTCAGCACAGACGGAGTAGCAGGGGGAATCCTTTCCTGGGGGGAACACGAGGCTCATTTCTTTGTGCACACAGGGCATGGCCACAGCAGATATTCTCATTACCCTGGGTCCTGATAGGATTTATTTTATGTAAGCTATCGCTCAGGCAATCCTCAGTGGCCATGAGGCCTTTTCTGTGTGTGCTGGGCCTCCACCAGGGAAGAGAGTAATTTGCTTCAGCCTGGCTGGGCTGCAAACTGTCCCCGTTTGCTATATTCCCCTTTTGCGTCTTCCCACTTCCCCATTCACACAGCTTCGTACCATCTACCTCCTGCTTTTAGTTCTTGCTTTGCTGCTCCTCCAGAACTCCCACCCCTCCCCGTTGCTGCCCGCCTCTCCCCTCACTGCTGTGGTTTCTCACTGACTGCCACGCTTGTTTGAAAAGCCTGCCCTGAATTCAAAGCTCAGATCATAACTGAGCTGGGGCGATGCACCTCAGGCCGTGATGTTCTGCAGTCCCTGTCAGAGAGGTTATGGAGTTGCTTCATACAGGGTCTGTTTTCTAACGTAGCCATACCAAGGGCTTCTCCAGCCTAAATTTACCCCGTCAGGCAAAAGCTTAGAAAAAAAAATGAAGTTTCTGATCCAGCCTCACTGAACACAAACTACCTACATTTACAACGTAACTCATAAGCAACTCAACTTGCAACTTGAGTCTTGGACCTGTCTTACTCACGGGCTTTTCTGGAGACCAGCCCTACTGCAAGAAGGTGCAGTAGGGCTGATGTATTCCTGATACATTGTGTCATGGAGGCTCCTCTATCTTCAGAGTGTGACTGCACTCAGCCTTTCCAGTTTGGGGCAAAATAGCAGGTCCACTGCCATCCTCCTACCTGGAGCACTGAAAGAGGTTCACCTCCTCCACCTCTTCTCCGCTATGTACCTGGGTAAGCAGAAGACCATGGCACAGACATTTGGGCATCAAGTTCTTTGTGACGGCTGATTCACACTTGCACTTCCCTCAGCTGAGAAGCTGTTCGCAGACTCTAAATCATACTGGTTTTTTATGGCTTGGCCTTATCTGGTTCTCTGTACTTCTGCAAGTCCCCAGTGATTCTGATACGGGTTTCCATTCTTACAGACATTTTGTTCTCAGCCAGTGACAACCCCCATCTCACTGATACCACTCTGTTACTTAATGGTGATAAATACAGATCGATATCTGACTGTGCATCCTTTCCCATGAGGTGCTCAGATGGTTCAACAACATCTTTCACCTGCCTGCTGTAGAGGGGAGGTAACAAGGACTAGAGATTACACGTGTAAATTCTAACTTGAGTGTCAACTGCTTGACTTGACTCCCTTGCCTGCTAGCACTCTTCATACATTATCAGATGTTAGATATACTATGTTTTGTAAAACCAGATCTAATACATATCTTTACTGGTAAGCTATGGTATCTTCTAGGAAGGCTGCAGCAGGGAAGTGAAAAGAGCTGTTTAGAGTACTAAGGAAATCTATAGCTACTCTGTTTTACAAGACTAATATTTCCTGAACTACCAAAGTAAAATCTTTTGCTTGACTTCTACCATTTTTTTCAAAGGCATAAAGCTTCAATCTTGCTGCACTTCCGAGTCCAACAAAAAAATCCCTCTGGCTCTTCATTCAAGTTTATCAGACTCTAAGTGACCCTCCTGTAATCTTTATAAGAGGGTTTGGGTTTTTTTTTCCTATGACCTTTTATAATGACCATCTTTCTACCTTTAAAGTAGACTCCAGTTCCTTGAATTCGTAAAAGCAGTTGAGAACAGACTATTCCAGGTACTCTGCACTAGTAGCTTTACTTACTGCCTGCACGTTTGCATCCTGAGCTACTGCTCTGGCTATCACAGTCTGTGTTGCTCCTCACACTGGACAAGGATTATGTTATTCCAGTTGTTATATGAAAAATCCTGTTACTGTCTTTGCTCTAGTGCTGTTTTACCTTGCATCAAAATACTGTCTGTGCAGCTCGTAATCCGCACAATACTGTGTAAGAAGTGCTACACTTGCTCCTGACACACTGCAATCCCTAAGCCCAACCTGAATGGCAGCCTAAACCTCCTGAAGGGGCTATTGAATTTGTACAGACCTGTGCTTTATCTCTCTGTGGATAGCTGTGGGAATACAGTTGACATGTTCAGCAGAGAGAAATATATGGCACTTTATCACTGTCTTTATCCCCTTGAAAGTATTAGAAAAAAATTATATTTCCTTTTTATTTACACAGTTATTTTAAGCCTATACCAAGTAGTAGAAAAGTGCACCCACGCTGTTGGTTTGATATTTTCCTTTGTGACCACCGGATATTTCCAGCTCCAGTTTAAGTCTCTGTGTACAGTCAGGGAGCATCCTGGGAGAAAAAATTGTTCGTGGCACAGGAGGCACAGGGAGCAGCCTGGAGTATTGATCTGCAGCAGTCTGCCTAATCTGCCCATGCTTTAAGAGATGAGAACTGCTGGACCAGCCTGGATGCCCCCATTGCACACACTCCCACCTCTTGCCTGCACAGCCCCAGCCTGAGATAACCACAGCTGGGAAGGATGTGCAGTGGCAGAAGCAATTGCTGGATCTAACCCCAGTCCTGTATCAGGAGCGCTGATTTCCAGGGATCTGCTTCTTCCTGTCCCTGTTCCAAACAGCTCTGGAGGCACAGGAGAAGCACTGCTTTACCTGTGGGGTGGTGGATGTGAAGGGGAGTGATAGGAGGGGACAAAAAGGGCCAAATCCCACCCCAATCCAACCCAAGCCATATCTGACCTGTCCCAGTCCCCTTCGCTTACCCTGATATTATGTAGGCCCCTCAACACCCCCTCCCACCCAGTCCTCTTGTTCCCTTGTTGACACCTCTTCTTGCAAAGAGAACTTTCTTTGCACCCCTGAGCCGGGTACGTCTTGGAGCAAGGAGTGGCCATTCCCAGCTCTACTCTTTGCCTCATTGAAATAATCTCTATCACCTGGAAAATGTTCTTTGGTTCTTCCTCCAGTCTCCCACTTTTCTAAGGAGTGCATTCCCTGATGAGATATACCCTTGATCTCATCTGGGTTGCTCTTTTCCCAGATGTTGCTGCAGTCATCATAGTGGGGGTTTTTAGTATATAGGCCACAGGTTTCTCTAGGAGGAAGATGCCAGAATCAGTGCCCAATATAAGAGTCAGTCCCCTGGATGTGGGTGTCTTTCAGCATAAGTTGATTTTTGCTGCATGTCAAATTCTCCTTGCTTAGTCTGTATTTGACCTAGGCTGTATCTATGCTGACCTTATTGACAACACCAGTGGGAGAACCCATGTGCTCTGAGCCACTGGCTATGGGCTAGCTCTGACCACACTGTATAACATTTAAATCTCATCTGCCCTCAGATCCATTTGATGTTTCTATACCCCTGGGGCATAATTAATTTTTATGTGTTCTTGCTTGCTTTTTCCTGCTTTCTTCCCCTCCTTCCTTCCTTCCTTCCCTCCTTCTTTCCTTCCTTCCTCCCTTCCTTCCTTCCTTCCTTCTTTCCTTCCTTCCTCCCTTCCTTCCTTCCTTCCTTCTTTCCTTCCTTCCTCCCTTCCTTCCTTCCTTCCTTCCTTCCCTCCTTCTTTCCTTCCTTCCTCCCTTCCTTCCTTCCTTCCTTCTTTCCTTCCTTCCTCCCTTCCTTCCTTCCTTCCTTCTTTCCTTCCTTCCTCCCTTCCTTCCTTCCTTCCTTCTTTCCTTCCTTCCTCCCTTCCTTCCTTCCTTCCTTCCCTCCTTCTTTCCTTCCTTCCTCCCTTCCTTCCTTCCTTCCTTCTTTCCTTCCTTCCTCCCTTCCTTCCTTCCTTCCTTCTTTCCTTCCTTCCTCCCTTCCTTCCTTCCTTCCTTCTTTCCTTCCTTCCTCCCTTCCTTCCTTCCTTCCTTCTTTCCTTCCTTCCTCCCTTCCTTCCTTCCTTCCTTCCTTCTTTCCTTCCTTCCTCCCTTCCTTCCTTCCTTCCTTTCCATGTGTTACTTACCTTAAGGGCATTTCCAGATGCATTGCTGGCTGGGGCAGTGTTGGTATCCACCTGAGTTCACTACAGATCCGTACTGCCTGTCTGGGATGCTCAAGCAAACTGACCTCTCATCTGGGCCTAGGTTTCCTCAAGAGAGGAACTGGTTGTTTTGTTCCAGGGTAAGCCTGGAACCAAACTAATTTGTGCACCATGTGGATGAGTGGGGGACTAAGGACCTGGAGAGGGAGACATACTTACCCTGCACTTTGGAAAGAACGGGAGATGCTCTAGGCTTAGCTTAGTTATACAATCCTGTCTCACTTCTTGTGTACCCTCATGAGAAAACATCTCACAGGTGTTTCATTTTTATATGAAATAGACTTATGCAGTTTTTTAACGGTGCATTTCCCATTCAGACTCCTCTGGTTGAAATAACTGAAAGCATTTAAAGTGCATCAAGGCCAACCACTGTTAAAAGCAAGGCTACCAGAACCAGGAGAATGCAAGTAATGGAGGTGATCATTGAACTGAATTAGTAGGTAAGGTCTCAAAACAGGGCAGTCAGGGATTCCAACAGACAGGCAGGAAAAGCTGTGAGAAGAAGGAAGCATCAAGGAATTAAGAGATGAAGCAAGTATGGATTAGAGACACAGGTACAGGTTTTGCATTGCTCTCTGTTGGAGTGGCTGAGAGTACTTCTGCAGTGCACAGAGGCATCCATTTTGGTATTTGCAGGGTGCTTGTGGTTTGACCTGCTGTCGTGGTTTAACAGACACATGTATAAGAACAGCCCTGATCAAGCTGCCTGTATATGTCACCTGCCTTTGAGGCAGGCAAGATCAAGTCTTTCAAGGAAGTGCTTTAGGTTGGTGTGTCCGCTTGATGTCAGCTGCAATACTGCTGAAACAATTTTTTTGTGGAAAACAATGATGGAAGGACTGGAGGTGATATGCTGGACCAAGCCCCAGTGCAGTAATTGGGACATTGGTCCAGACTGTGGGGCAGTGAATTCTCCTCTGATGTGGCCCAGAATCTCAAGACAGAAATTGAGTCTACAAGGGGTGGGCTCTTGGCAATTTGTGACCCAAAGGCAGGCCTCTGATAAATTTTAAGCATGGGCATTGGGTGTAATGAAGGTCAGGGCAGACGTGGGTGTAATGGTTTGAAATCAGTTTGCATTAATAAAGCTCGCTCTCTTCTCCTTCCTTTTATCCCTCTCATATAAGCTCCTAGCTGCTGCTTTGAAAATGTTGACACTGACCATGGAAAGTGAGTGCTATATGTTTGCCACTGACTCTTCCTAAAGATCATAGGCAATTTGTGACCCTGCCTACAGCTGCCTGTGTGGATTCATTCTGGATTTCTGCCACCCCTTGACATCTTTAAGGTTGGGATATCTCCCACTCTTCATTGGAGGTTCACTGAAGCACTTGATCTCTCCAATAACAGCACTGAACCTACAACATAACCACAGGTTAGAGCAAATGCAAGAGGCAGAGGAAGGGAGGGCAATCTGTGTCTTTCTTTGTGAGGTTGAATGGCCCTAGAGCAATGGACCTTAGCCAGAGTGTTCAGGCGGTTCCTACCTTTCACATCAAGCCTTTTAAAGGGCCAGTTATTCTCTCCAGAGGATCTCAGACCAGATGATCTGAGATGGGGATGTTAATGGGAATGTCGGAAGGTAATAGCTCTTCCTTTCCTAGTGAGTCAAGGACCTTCAGCCTCACAGGAGCCTATTCTAAATGGTGGCAAGTCTACATAGATGCTAGCTCTGACTGCATAACAAGTCAGAGGGTCATTTCTTATTTTTCTACACATGCAATGCTCTTGCAAACTCTACCTTGCTGTCATATGGAAAGATGGTAGGTAGAAGTCTGGACCTGTTTTGCCATCCTGCTCAAGGCCTGCTGTGAGTACAGCAACAGATCAGGGAGCTAAGGATGTAGAGTGCTTCAGAGGTAAGTGTTCATGCATGGAGAGGAGCCGTCCCTCTACAGCTTCAGTCCTGCTAAAGGAGGCAAGAGCCCTGTTTGGGCATCACACCTGGTTTGAATTTTACCTTGAACTATTTATTCAATCACCAGTTCTTCTGGCTCTGACATGGTGCTCTCCTGCATGCTTTTTTTTTCCCACATTGCCTACATCAGAGATCTACCACATAAATCATGTGGCAACCAAATACAACTCAGGGGGAAGTGTGCAGCCTTCTGGGGCTGTGTGGAGGGGATGGAGGAAAAAGAGCACCTCTCTGCCTCGCAGGTGAACAGAGCAGCACAAGTGCCTTCAAAACTGCCCTGCTAATGCCAGCTCTCCCACCAGCAGGAATATTGCTAAACCTGAGAGAGGACTTCATTCCTCCTCGGTTCACCCCATCCTTGCTTACAAGGCTTCCCAAGAAAAACAGTTTGTTAGTGGAAAAAAAAGGAGCCAGACTTAGAGTACAAGTTACTTAGTGGGCACTGAGAGAGGGAAAAGAAGACGACGACTCTCTTCTCCCCTCCATCAACCAGCCTCCAATTTTAGAACGTTCATCCCCCCACCACCTGCTGCAGAAATAACACAGGAAAAATCTTTCCCTTAAAATGAAACCACTTCCCGAATCAGATGGGTTTTCTGAATCAAGAACTTCCTTTTCCCCCCCTCCTCTCCTCAGAGTACCTCAGACAAAAGCCCAAAGTACTATCAGCCTCTCACTGCTCATTTCAGTCCCCTCAAACAGAGATGCGTGCTCAGAGATTCCCCAAAAAGCTGCTGGGATGGAAATGCATTTGTGGATTTGCATTTCAGAAGTAGCCAAGGAGCCCTTGTTAGCTCGTAGCAGTATGCACATGCAGCGATGCAAGCTCACTGATGCAAGCTCATGAGATGTGGTCGGAGGGACGAGGATAGGAAGGGCGGAGTCACAGGGCAACCCGCCCCCCTAATGCTGCTACAATCTTGGTCACTGGCTCCAAGTTGTTTCAGTTCTGTGAAGCATCTGAACAAGCAGAAAGCAAAGAGGAACAACACTTTTTTTGAAAATATATTGCGCTCTTCAGGATGGACTTCTGTCCTGCTGGTAAGCCTTGACCACCTTTTGCCTTGTTTTCTGTGAGGGCTGTGCGCTCAGTTTGACAGGGCAGATCACACCATGAAATCCCAGCAGCTAGAGGGGATGCTGCAGCTGGTGGCTGGAGGAATGAGATGGTGGAAGATCCCTGGCGGTGCAGTTAATTGCTTGTCAGCCTTCAGCATTAGGCATGGTTTTCTTTTTACTTGCTCTCCTGTAAGCAAACTCCTTTCACATCGGGAGAAATTTTCCCACTGATTTAAATGGCCTCCGTGCTGAGAGCGTCTACTGCTGTGATCCCTTGTGCTGGTGATCCTCAGCTGAGCTGGAAACTGACTCAGGGGTATCAAGGGAATATATGACACTTGGGATGAGCACTTACAAGCTTTGGCTTCTCTTCATGCAACTCTGGCATGGCTTGCAAGCTCCTCAGTGGTGTTTCCCTACAGGCCCCAGGAGCTGGTTTGCCTTTGCAGAGCCTCTCATGCAGTTGGGCATCCCAGTGCAACATGCTTGCAAGGCTTTTGGTACTGGGGCCTCTCTTGCTTATGTCCACATTAAAGGTAAATGACTGTATTAGGGTTCTACCAAGTCCAAGTGACCTGCAGGTGGGCCTGCCTGGTCCTGAAATAATCTCAAAAGGCAGATGTGGGTGGGGGGAGATAAGTCACATCTGAGGAACTGAGAGAGATCTCAGGTTTTATTTCCTACTTTGGCAGGTGGTGGGTAAAGTGGTTGGATGCAGCAGGGAAAGGCATACTGCCAGACTAAACATTTCTAGCCTCTGGCTGAGGAAGCTCTGAGTTGTGTGTCTGTGCAAAGGCAGCAGATAGGGAGAGCTGAATGGGAATAGGCTGAACAAGGGCCAGGAAGAAAAGCGATCGTCTTGCAATGGCCCTGCTGTGTCTGACTCTCTGTCCTCACAGGCTTTTGTGTATAGGATATAGAGCACAAAGTGAAGGGAAAAAGCAGTTCCCAGCTTCAACAACTGTTCTGCACTTTTTAGCTCCTAGGTGGGTAGCCAAGGAAAGGGCATGCTCAAACCGCATACCAGCTTGCTTGTCAGGGAAATTGGTGGGACCTATGGGAGCTGAGCTCTTTCCAGCATCTGGCTATGAATGTTGGTGAAGGTGAGTCTCTTCAGATCACCCAGCCCTCACCACCTGAAAGCAACTATGGACAAAGCTTCTTCAAAACAAGCTGGGCAGAAGGAGGGGGGGTACCTCATGTTTTGCTACTTATTTTGGGGTGTGCTTTCCACAGAAACTGAGGCTTTCAGAACTGATGGTCTGACAGTCATTCACTCAAGATATGTGTTACTGAGTTAATTATGTCTTAAAAGTTACATACTGCAATAGCACAATGAGATCCTGCTCAGGGACAATGCAGTTTTGCTCAGCTCTGGCTAGAGGCAGAGCCTGGAGACAGGCAATGCCTGAAGAGATGTGCTAGTTCTGACTGATGTCTTTGCTCAGTCCCAGCTTGTCACTTCACAGCTGGGTGGGAAAGGGGGTTTGATGCTGCTCTACTTTGGGAGCCAAGGCTGCTGCCAGATACAGTTTTCCAGTGAGCTTTAGATCTCTGGATGTGTTTGAAGTTGCTCAGTTGTGGCATGATTGTTTTGCTACATTTTGGGGTGTGCTTTCCACAGAAACTGAGGCTTTCAGAACTGATGGTCTGACAGTCATTCACTCAAGATATGTGTTACTGAGTTAATTATGTCTTAAAAGTTACATACTGCAATAGCACAATGAGATCCTGCTCAGGGACAATGCAGTTTTGCTCAGCTCTGGCTAGAGGCAGAGCCTGGAGACAGGCAATGCCTGAAGAGATGTGCTAGTTCTGACTGATGTCTTTGCTCAGTCCCAGCTTGTCACTTCACAGCTGGGTGGGAAAGGGGGTTTGATGCTGCTCTACTTTGGGAGCCAAGGCTGCTGCCAGATACAGTTTTCCAGTGAGCTTTAGATCTCTGGATGTGTTTGAAGTTGCTCAGTTGTGGCATGATTTTCCTGAAGGTCAGAGGTGCACATACACCTCTTCCTGGAGTCACTCCTACCTGGAGACGCAATGGTCCTGTTAGGTACCTGTCTGCCCCAGCTGTGTGCAGATGAGACCTATGTCTGTGGGGAGGCTGCTCTCCCTGCAGTGGATGTCCTCTTCCAGCTTCCTTCAGGACCTTCTAGTGACTGTCTGGGTGAGGCCACAGAGCCAGTATCCCAAATCCTTGAGCTGGGTGTGTGAAACATGGGAGAGCAGACTGGTACCGTGGTATCATGTGCTAGAATGTGTGGGGTCAGAGCCATAGGGAAAAGTGGCTGGAAGCTACCCTGATCGCAGTAAGTTATCATGTGGGATAAGGGGACCAGGAGACAACATAAATTCTTCTTCACACCTTTTCCCCCATAGCTGGAATGTGCAAATTAAACCTGTGTGAGTTCCATGTTGAATTTCTTCTGACACAAGCTGGAAGAGAACTGTGGAGTGGCTGCAGGAGGGAGACAAATTGGGCTGGAAGGAACTGAGGAGCTGGAAGGCTTCCTATTATCTACCTGGTACCTGGCTGGGGAGATGGTGGTCTGTGCTGGAGATGACACAGCAGCCATATCAAAAAAGAAAAGGAATTTCAGGTGAAATTATTCCACGAGACAGCCTCATCCAGGCAGAAGGTGCCCATCAGGCTGCTCTGCTTGTGTGTTGCCATGGGTGGAGGTGCCCAAACCCTTTAGCAGCCACACTCAGAGCCCTACATTGCCTTGCAAACGGGCCAGCTGAACCTCTGCTGTTACACTGTGGGTGGGTAGCACATGGATGGTCTGTAACAGTGCTACAGATGCAGTCATTCTTCATAACCTTCCCCTACTGTTTCTGCAGTCCATCCTTCCAGCTCTCCTGGGTAGTCGCTTCCCACTTATCTCTGTGCTCCAAAAGCTATCTTCATATACTTTTGCTTGGGATTGAAAGCCTTGCTTAGCACCTGAACGGCTCTGCACAGCCCTTTGCAATGGGAAGTGAGACCAGCAAACACAGTACTCTTTGCTGGCCACATGAGTACCCAGACTTTTGGGTAACTCTGACCTGCCCTCCAGATGGGGAGGCTGAGGGCATAAGTCACCACAACTGGAATTTAAGTCTGTGTTCTGTTTTGAGTGACAGCACTAAAAATACAAGCCTGGGCAATTAATGAAGAACTGGCAGGTCTGTCTATCTGGGTCTACCCTGAGAGCGGGAAAACAACCTCAAGAGCAGGTGTAAGCCTCACAAATGGATGCTGATGTGCTTTCCTTTCAACGTTTGCTCTCTGAAAATAAATTCCAAGCAGCAACCATGTCTTCTCTGGAGATAATGCTCTCCAGTTTTTTGTCTTGTGTCTGAATTGGAAGACTTCAGCATTGGTTTGGCTGACAGCATCCCCCTGAAACCTGCGGGTGTTTTCATGGGGTGTTCTTCATCGGGGTGAAATTTCCCCCTGTGCAGAGAACCCTGACCAGGGCTATGCTTCATCTGTGTCCTGTCTTAACCCTAGAGGGAAGTGGAACTTGGTGGTACTGAGGACTTTGATGAGGTTGAAGCCGTTCCTCAGTCCCCCGGTGCAGGGATGAATTCCTTCTGCCATTGCAAGCATCTGGAGCGAGCCAGGCGGTGCTTCACTCAGAGTGTCCCTCTCCTGCTGGCTTGGCTCATTCTCAACATGGAGAGGGAAGGAAAGGCAAAGCAGCCTGCTCTCATTATCTCATCTGCTGCTTGCCCAGCTGCCTCTGCTGCCTTCGCTGCCTTTCTGTGGATGGTTCCCCAAACAAGCCTTTTGTGTTCACTTCCCCTAACTGTAGACCCCAATGTGTGCAATAACATTGACGAACAGCCTCAAAACAGCCTTGAGCAGAGCATTAGGCCTTCTGTTAGGGAAGCAGAGTAACATGCAGGCACTGACCTCAGAATTATTTTCCAAGGCAATCAGGGACTTAAGCTTTTTAGGAAACTTAGGAAACCTTACAAGGACCTTCTCTGCAGCTCAATCTAAATTGCTCCGAAAGTTTGATCCATCCATTTTTTTTTCCTCACTATGTCACCCTTTCCTGTTTTTTTATCCTTTGATTCCCTCCCCTTCTCCGCGACTCGTATGCTTTTTCTCCCCTGCCCTCCCCACACACACAGTCCTTCCCACAATTTTCTCATTCTGACAAACTAGACAGGTAAATCACTTGGGAGTTGGGGTTTTCAGATGTTCAGGAGGAAGGGGGACTGAGTTATTTACAGTCTCGGTGGGGGTCAAGTGGGTGAGATGGTGTCCTCTGGGAGCCTCACGTCTCTTTGAAATGCTTTAGGCTGCTTCAGTAGGCAAAGAATAACTGAAGCAAAGCAACCAGCCACACCACAGACTTTGCTGATGGGGTGGGGGAAGGAGAGGTTCCTCAGGTATGTCCTGCTACGGTGCTTTTGTGGAAAGAAATACAGGACAAAGGGTCTTAGTGGTAATTTGTCAGGGAATCACCCCAGTGACTCCACAATTACCAGCCCCTGTAGGGGTGAGACAGATAAAGCTGGGGACACCAAGAGGCTGGCCTTATCTCCTGCAGATGCCAGAACGGCAGGAGACATAAAGTAAGCTGAAAGACTCAGGCACAGCTCACAGGCGCAGGGCTGACATTCAAGGGGAAGTCAGCAACCTGTCTAACAAGCAGCAAAGCCACTGCTTGGGGTTTTTTGTTGTTTCTTTTTATTTGTTTGTTTTTTGTTTGTTTGCTTGCTTGCTTGCCTGTTTGTTTGTTTTCCCCTCACATACAGATTTGGCTGTTGTGAGCTGCTGGATGCCACAGGTTTTCCTCCCCTCCTGACCGGCTTCAGCAATCAGTCAGCTTCTTTCAGCTCTTCACTGAAGGCTGCTTGCAGAGCTGGGAGGGGACATGAGTCTTTCCCAGCCCTGGCTTCATGCTGGCTCCTTGCCCAGTGCTTTCCTCCCAGAGGCTCAGCAGCCTCTCCCCAGGGAATGCAATGCTTGAAAACAGCGGGAGGAGTGACGGGAGGGAGACTGCAGCCTGAGAAAAGTAATAGGACAGACTTAGCACATGGAAACCCAACCAGCTGGGAGGATGGGGGAAAGATTAGGATTGGGGAAGGCAGGTCTCTCTGAGCTGTTGTGGCCATGACAGGAAAGAAGCATATGGGCTCTGAGATGACTGCCCTTGTCCCCTTTTCCTTCTGTCTGTCTTGGCTGGTTCCTTCCCCTTTTTTCCCCACTCATATTTATAGCAGTTATTTTGCATGTGAGATCCACACTAAGAGACTTTCCAAGGCAGCTGGCGCCACTTCTCCTTTTTCCAGGAAGACGGGAGGCCCGGGGGATTTTGGCTTATGAAACAGTGGAGCAGGGCATCCAGAAACCTGACCTGCCTTCCTGGGGAAGCTTTGTCTCGCAGGGTTTAGGTGCAGCAAGGACACTGTCTGCAAGTTCTGCAGTGACCTCCCAGGAGCTCCAGTGCTCTCAGCCTTGTGTGAGCCCCCTGTTTTTTCCCTAGGGATCACCATCTGCTTTGCCTCTCTAGGGCTGCAGCCTCCTCTTTCTCCTTGCTGAAGAGGCTGTGCTTCACCTAGATTATATTTAGCAGCAGTGCTGTCACCCCAATTCTTCTAGGTCTTTCATGAATCATTTTGTGGTTGCCTTGGCTTTGCTGGTATCTGTTTAACTTCCTGTACATTACAAGGAAGCCTACTCGTATTTCTGCATTGTCTGTAGTCCACAGAACAACAGCCTCCCACAGATGCTCCTTCTTCAGCAAGGCTTTCATCCCCCCAGATCCTGCCCTCAGTCTTGAAAAACCTCAATTCTCTCTCTTAAGCCATTTCTGATTCTAGCTGTGGTGGATCAATCCATGAAGCCAGTGGCTTTTCATGAAAGGTTTAGATGTAGATGAAGTATTTAGGTCACAGCTTTTCAGTACATAAAGATGACTACATAAAAACCACCAAAGAGCATTTGGTAAGACCTCTTCATTGTGCTTGCGGTGAGTAAAATTGGTTGAGTAGGCAGGGTGGGTTGCTGCAGGGTTAGATCAGAGGGCTACCAGCACAGCGGCTGGCTGCTAGGAAGGGTATATGGGTCTGTGCTGCTTGCTCTGGACTGAGAACCATTTGCAGGGCAAAGCTGAGGTGCAGTGGCTGCAACAACAGGGAACATAGATGCTGAAACACAGAAATCAGAGTTGCTGTGGCATGACCCTAGGAGAGGATAGGCGCTGAGAGGTTGAGGCAGCTTTTCTTGTGATATGTTGGCCCAGTACTATTCTCACAGGCATCTTTGTTCTTCCAGGGTCAACTGACTTGAGTGAGGCTGAAGAGGCTGAAATAGAGACAATCAAGCAGCACAGAAAGGAGCTTTTGGAGGACATTAAGGTAAGGACCATCCTGTTCATCCTGTCTGCCTAGCCTTCTCAAAACTGTCTTCACCAAGGAATGTCTCCACATAACAGTCCAGGCCATGCAGAAGTGCTCCTACACAGGAGACATTTGCTCTGGTATGATCCAGGTTGAATCCTGAACTTCAGGCTGCCCTGTCATATTTGCCATCAGTGTACATCCAACGTGTGGTACTCTCTACTGCAGGAGTCATCAACTACCCTAATGAGATATTTGAGAAAGGCTGGTCAGATCATTAGCAGGGATGAGCTGGGATTGCATATTTAGGATTAAGAAAATGAGTATGACTTTACTAAGTCATACTGGCAGGGATCTGGCTCAGCATTTATGATTATTTTAATTACTGATTACCTGCTAATGACATATCAGTCCTAGTTACCTGTTGCATCCCCCTGTGTTTATCAAACTTTTGTTTGGTTTGTGGACCTCTAAGAAGTCCTCCATGAAGGTTCCTGTCTCTTTAGAGAAGTGTGATGGCAGGACCTTCCACACAAGTTTCCGTGGTTGAATTTGCTTTTCTTCTTTTCTTTTAGTAGACCCAAACATTTCTCCACTGACTCCTAAAATGTCTGAAAATGACAGATTCAAAATCAGTCAGTAGTATCGCATCACAATCATGCATGGTGCCATACACTTTCTATTCTGTTCTGCCTCCACCACCATGGACTGTGGTCTCCCTTTTGAGAGAGCTTATTGCACTGAATCATTGGACTTGCACTGGTTTTCCCACAACATGAAGATGTCCAGATGCCTGGGGAATAGGTGCAATATTTCCTTGCGTAAAGGATTAAGCCAAACTACCTATTACTTCTCAGACTTCCACACTCACCATCTCTGCTGCAAATCAGAATGGTGAAGGTCTTGTCCCTTCTTGCAAAACAGGCTATGAATGTATGTGAATGTGGTTTGCTTGTGTGTGGTTCTTATCTCTTCAATTTTCAGAATAGGCAATGGGCACTGTAGGAGGCAGGATACTTGAATAGGAATACTACATTTTTTACCCACTATGGACAGAGAAAAGCTGCTAGACTATACAGACCTGTATTCTAAATCCCAAAGCCATTAACCAATGGGGTATGCATTGTCCAATGGAGCAGGATGAGTTTAGGTGAAAGAGTACCTAGAACTGGAGACATTTTCCCAGGTGGATTTCTTCAGAAAGTATCTAGCAATACCCTTTAACACAAAGACTTCAGGGGATGTCTGGTGGGGGGAGAGGAAGGAGGGGAGAGGATGGGTCTAGACTTGCCAGTTACACTGCCAAAAGACAGCGGTGAATAAAATAACAAAACTGATAATCATTTGAAATTCAGGAACTAAGATCACGGCTTTGTTACATTTGTGCAATACCTAAAGCTTAGTAAGGAACACTCCCAGCTCTGGAGGCTGGTGAAGCACAACAGAATGAAGGCTAGAGCAAAACTGAAATCCAGAAACTCTTTTAAATTATGGGATATTGGAGAATTTCAGTTTCTCTATCTGGCTGCATACTGCGGCCACATCCTCACTTCTTGTTGAGGCAAGGTCTGTCATAAAACAACCCTTCTTCCCCTGCCTATTCTGGTTTGCATGGGGAAGAATTTGGGTGATTCCTGGAAAAGAGCTGTGATGCACTCTAGCTCTGAGGAGGACCATAACTGCAGGATGGAAGCAAGGAGATATAGACATCTTCATTTCCTTTGTAACACAGAATATCCAGCCAAGAAGACCATGGTCTGTCATGGGCCTAAAGGAAACTGAATTCTACAATTGATTTTTTTAAAATTTGGCAGTGATTACTCTTACTGCTCCTCTCTTCTTTCTCTGCCTAAAGACAGGTATCTGCTCAATGGTATCTGAATGATAGGTACTTTAAAAACTCTGTGTTTCACAGTGTGCCACTTCAGGTTCATATTGACCTCACAGTTACTGGTTCCACTTCCCCTTTCCTGGATGTGTAGCAGGGCTATGCAAAGTAAAAGCTAGAAGGAAATGGGCACGATGGAAGGACTCTCACATCTGACATTGTTTGAGGAACTGAAATCAGCACTGGGGTGAGTTCTCTGACACTCTCCACACTGGCTAAGCTTGATTTTCCAGCCTTGATTGACAACAGACATAAGAACATCTTTCTGCCCCTCTCTCCCATTTCATCTGGAATCCAGTAGGGTCACGCCAAAGCAGTGCCCATTTCATAGACATCCTTGGCTGGTCATGACATCTGACCTGTCCTTTTCCTATGATTGAGGGAAGTAGGAGGACATGCTCTGTATGTGTCTGCTAGTTTTCCCTCCATCACCTTCATCCTCCTGATATTTCTTTTGCAGAAGCTGAAGGAAGAGATTGCTGAAGTGTTTGCAGAGATTGAGTGCTTCCAAAATGCAGAGGAGAGGCAAGAGGCAGACAATAATCCTGGGGAGCAGACCAGGCAAGTGGGACAAGATGGGTATTCCTTTGTTTACAAAGTCTCTCTCTTGATGTTGAGAAAACAAAAACAACGATGGGATTTGGATCACAACAAGGACAGGGAAATGAGGCCAGGAATACCATTCTGTCCTCTGAGTTTTCTCTTTATTCCTGGATAGTCAGACACCTGTCCTTGAGATATCCGAGTTACCTTGTGAGTGAATTGAAACATGGCCCTTTATTCTAAGTTTCACTTGCCGCCTTCTTTGTGTTTGCAGCAAACTGTCGCAGAGGGATAAACTTCTGTCCCTGGGCCGGAAGAAATTCAACATGGACCCTGCAAAGGTAGAATTTGCTCATTCCACCTGTGAGGAGAAAGCTGGGAGGAAGAGTTTCTGTTGGCTACTGGTCCACTTGCAGCCACCCATGTCAAAGAAACTACGGCATGGGACTGTGGGGCTGGTTTCCTACATCACTAAGGCTCCAGTTAGTAGTACCCTCCATCCTGTCCCTGAATAAAGTCTTCGGATATGATCAAGCTGTGTTGCCTCCCCCCATCATGTGCCTATAGGCCATCCCATCAGATGCAACCCAAAACTAAGAGAAATAAAGGGAGGATGGTTTAACACTGCCAATGTGTCAAGAAAGCCAAATCTCTTTCAGCCCAGCTGTTCTTGCCTGTGAGAGGCTAAGAATTGGCCACAGTGTGATAGAGGAGGATGAAGTAAGAAGAATGTGAGAAGTTTTGAAAGTGTGTCAGGTTTCTTGGCTCATTCAGAACAGAAGAGGACAAGCTGCCTCTGTCATTTTGGAAGTAGTTTTGGTTTTGGTAGTACAGGTTGGACTGTGGAGTGAATCCAGGTTTTCCACTTTCTGGGACTCTGACCAGTGGGGTCCAGACTCCATAGCCTTCAGCCCTCTGCAGAAAGCTCTAAAATCATCATGATTAAGTAGAGAAGATGTGAGAAAGACAGTTTTCTCTTCCTTCCTCCTCACTGGTGGACCATTTTTTTGAGCTCTGTAAGGAAAACCACAAGCTGCGATTGAACGATTGCTCATCATCAGCTAACCCCCACATCTTGGGTGGCTGCTGGTCTGAGTGACAACTTTTCATGCCTTCTCCTCTGCCCTGCTGAGACCCTCAAGATGCCTTGCCCAGTGTCCACATCACAGCTGGAGTGCTTGCCAGTCCCCTGGACATCCCTCTGCCAGTGGGAGCTGTCTCAGAGCAGTGATATCAGTACTTACAGCCTACGTGAGAGCACGTTTCATTTTGTCTTTCTGTCTGACCTTGGTTTGAGGCCCCAGAGGCATCTCTCTCTGTGGCACTGTGCCATGCTGTGCAGAAATACCTGAACTACTTCTGGCCCTAAACCAGTTTAACTTCATTAGTTCAATGCTGATCAGCCTAGTCAAAATGTTATACTATCTGCTTATATTATGCAGATCTCTGCTTATTGCTTCCCTTTTGCTACATGCCATAGGCTGAGAGGTGCTACGATGCAAGGAACTTTCTTTGCCCCTCCTTGCTAAGGTTACACTTCATCCATGCAATGCTGATACTTTGAGTTCAGAGGAGGTAAGCGTTAGGAATCTGGCTGAACAAAACCTTTTAGGAGAAACATTTTCTTCTGGAAAATGAAGCCCCATTATTACTACAATGCTTTGTAAAATTAAATTGATCCTACCGAAATTCCATCTGGGGAAAAAGGAAGGAAAATAGTGTGGAAAAATCTCACAAATGTTTCAATTTCTTCCTTTGAAACTGCTTTTTCTTTGGGGCATTTTAGAAATAGTTTCTTACATATTACAAGGCAAAGTGAATTGATTCTGTTGAAGTAGAACATTTTGATGGACCTAAAACAATTTTCATTCCTTTATTGTATTTTGTGAAGAATATTGCAATGTTGTCTGGAGAGTTGCAGTGTTTTTAGATATTGTTAAGACTCTGAACAAAGCGTCAACTTTCTGTGACTTTGAAAATCATGAAATTCCCTCTAAAATAGGATGTTGACTCTTTGCACAGCCCAACTCAGACCCTCTATATTCCTTAAAAAACATATTCCATCCTTACTGGCTGGGGAGGATGGAGCTGAAAAGATTGCAGACTTCTTTGTTCTGTGGCATAGAAGAAAATTTAGGAAAAAATAATTCTAAGTTGTCTCAAGCCCATATTTTTGTCTGAGAATATTTTTTTATTATGTTTTCTTTTAAACAAACATTTTTTTCTTTGTGTTAAGTTAATTTGGAAAAAAGGACATTTAGAAACAGATCACTAAGATATTTTGACTGAAAATGTTAAAATGAACTATTTTGACTTTGCCTTTTTGGTCTTTTAACCTACGTTGCCCTTTTTTGTTTGCTTGAGTTTCCATCCCAGTGAGACATTTACCCAAATCTAGGGATGAAATGGAAGTGGGACTGACCCACTATGGTGGATGAAGAGGGATGGAATAAATGTGGGAACATGGCTGTGGTCTCCCATAAAGGGGCTGCGGAGTAACAGGAGGCAACATCATCAAAGCCAAGGAAGGCTGATATCAGGGTGTTGGGGTCCTGCTTTCTCATCAGCCCACAGAGCTGTCTTACTTCACTGTCTTGCTTCTCCTCCCCCAGGGGATCCAGTACCTGATTGAGCACCGGGTATTGTCCTCAGACCTGCAGGAGATCGCCAAATTCCTCCACAAGGGTGAAGGCCTGAACAAGACAGCCATTGGGGATTACCTGGGTGGGAGGTGAGCAACCCAGCTAGGATGAGGAAGCCCTTTGTAGGCCCTGTCCTGCCTGGCCCCTCCCAACCACCATTTTAGATGACTCCTGGCAGACATCAATCAGGTGCCAAGGCTGAACATACCTCAAACTGCAGTGGGCTGGGTGGGCAGTACAGCCTGGGGGGGGGGGGCTTTGGGGTGTGGCTAAGGCTGGCTGTATGGGCTATCTTTCCTCCTGCCTGTAATGGGGTCAGTCTTCCCAGACAAGAGTGTACATCTTGGCTTCTTGGTCAGAGGGGAAGTGGAGACTGGGGTGGAGCCGGGTGCATGTTGTCACACCAAGGGGGGG